GTCGTCCTCCCTCTTCGCCGCGGGAGGGGGATGGCGAGGGAGGAGGAGCCGTATCCCCCCGGAGGCAGCGGCGGGAACAGGCTCTCGGCGCGCGTGCGGCTGCCGGTCAGCGAGAGTTCCTTCCCGGCTCGCGCGACTCCGAAAGGCGAAAACAGGGAATCTGGCCTTTCTCAACTACAACTAATTCTTCTACCCAAAACAAAAACACGCCGCACCTGCCAGCAACAGTGCCGCTCATTGGACGAGGACGGCGCAGACGGGGGAGGGAGTATAGGCTGCGCGCGCCCCCGGGGCCTGGAGCGAGCTGCCGTGGCCGCGCCTGCTACGGGGAAGAGGGAGGAGTTGTCTGTTTTTCCCTCTGATCTTTGCAGCTGCGGCAGCGGCCACTGCCCACCCGAGTCTGATGCAGGTTTTTTTCCTGTAAAGTTCAGGTACTGGGGATGCTCGCCGGCCCTTTGCGCTCACTGGATTATGTACTTGTTTCCTTCTGTACATACGCGCATTAAGGCTTTTTCGCTGTACTTTTAACATCTACGTTACACATTTTAGTTTCACTCAGCGGTGGGGATGTAAGGATCGAACCCTTGGATCTTGCTTTCTGCTTAACTTATTTACTAAATAAGGTACTAGTTTATTCCTGGCCATTAATTAACACATAGATCAAGAAATAAGCTAGTACCAAATTGGTGATTGAACACTAGGATTTTAAATTTTCCCTGGATTGTATATCCTGATTATTTTTGTTTTTGTGCCTTCCAGCCTTCAAGGGCTTCTTAAAAATAAGATTTATGGCCCATTAGATGCAACATGCTGTTTTTAAAGTTCTGTGGGATTCTTTAGATTTAGCCATTTTGTCTCAATGGCTGTGTTTACATATTACATTGAACCACAAACTAGCTAACCACATTTAGCTCTGTGTGTTGTCTGAATGTAGTTGTGTATTATGCTTCAGTGTACTGTAGGAAATTGAATTAATTCCGTAAACCATGATTAACCACTGGTAACTTATTAAAAGGTAGCCAATGAGAGCATATTTTACATCTGTGAACTCAAGGATTGGGTTCATACATCACAGTACTGTAAGTCACAATTTATTAATGATAAAATCATGGTTCACATAAATTAATGTTAGCAGAGTTCACACCATATAACAAAACCAAATAAGCCATATTGTGATACAGTGTGATGTAGCTTCTTATATGCTGAGTAAACTAAACTCTACTTTCTGGAAACTGAGACCTAATTTACCAGCACACCTGAAGTTCTGAACTGGAAGTGTTCACTATGAGAGTCTAAGAAAGTCATGATTTTATCAGTCACAACAGTCTGCATACCAGCAGTATGAAGCACACACTGGCTTGGTTTAATGAGAGTGTTGCATTGATTATTTAGACACTGTTTGTGGGATGCCTTGAAGTCATGAATCAAACATGGGATCACTCTTTTGTCAATGTTTTTTACATGGGGTATACTTGAAAATACAAATAAAAGATGAACCTGGTCAGCAAAAGTGTACCCTAGTGTAAATTTATGGAACCCACATAAAATCACTATTAAAACACAGAGCACATCTGTTTGCATGTAAGGAGCCATCATAATCATGGAACTGACTATTGTACTAGACTGCTACAAAAACTGGGATCTGAGGCATAGGTGAATTTGTGTGGGATTGGTATGGAATCACTTTTACATTACAGATCTTCTTCGTTTGCATGCAGTGAGCCATTGTAATAATGTACTTGACAATTTTGGGTATTAACGAGGCACTAGAATATCATGAATAGCCATAGTTGTTATCTGGAACCTCATGGAAATACTATCAAATCACAGATCATTTCTGTCTACCCACAATTAAATATCACAATAATGGAGCCAGTACTTTTTTTTTTGCACTATGGTGGAGCCAAAAAGTTTTGAGGCAGATTCTCTTGATGTCATATGATGTTTACATAGGATCTATATCAAACCACCAAAAGTATAGATCACATCTATCTGCATACCCTGAACTCTAACAATCATGGGTCTGACCATTTTCAACCCTGCCATGCCCAAAAGCATAGATGAAGTTATTGAGCATCTTGACTTTGCATGATTTTTAAATGGAATCCATATTAAACCAGCATCAAATCACAGAAGCCATTTCTCTATATGCAAATCAGAATTAGAAATCTGACCATTTTTAGCAGCCCCATGGTATAAAACATGAATCTAAGACAAAAATCCTATTGCGTGAATACAGTGAGCCATCACAATCCCAGATCTAACCATTTTTGGCACCATACTTGTACAAACACATGGAAATGAAACACAGATCTTCTTAAATTTGCACAATTTCAGAAGGGATTCATATAAAACATCCAGACCACAGATCACATATGTTTGCATGGAATGGACCAACACAATCACATACCCAAAAGTTTTGAGTATTGCCATAGTGCA